CAACAAGGATGCAACATGCGATGCGCATCTAACTTGACATCTCAGAGGTCAGACGTCAGATGATCAACTGCAAAACCAAAGTCGAAGGAACAACACTAGACGAAACCGACAGCCATCCAGCAAACAGTCCATGAGGAAGTGTGGCAATCGACGGCAGAATACAGTCCAGCAACCATTCCATGCAGTATAGCCTCCGTCCTTCCAGCGTATGCAGGAAATACATGCCTCCCAGTATGTCGTGATATCGGAATTTCTGCCAGCCTTCCATTGCCAAGCCAGATGAAAGAAGACCCAACATCCTATACGACATAACCTCAGTACACACTAGCAAACAACCTGCGTAAAGATTGGGGCTGTGAGGGCCCTGGGCTGATGTGGCTCCTGTAGGGGTGTGGAGCCATGGATTGTTTTCATTTCGAGAAGGGGCGACGGGATGTTGGGCAAAGGTGGATAACGAGAGCACACGATCTGAACAGCAACGAAAGGAAAGCTATGCTAATGTGCGTCTGTCCGAAGAGATTGGCAATACTGGCCAAAACGGTAAGCAGGCACACGAACAACGGCCATGCTGCTAGTAATCATGAACAGCATGGTTCTCATCACGCTTCGGCCATTGCAGTTGACATCTCAGAGTTCCAGCAATGCAAGCGGTGACTCAGTCCCGAGCATGGGTGGTTGAACCGTGCACCTCAAGGTGCAAAAGCAAGACCATGACACATATTGAACACCTGATAAGGCTTACCGCACACACACGCACACGCACAGAGAGCCGCCGAAAAGCACAAAGCGTTGATATGCGCACATTTCCAACTACTATGTGCTATCATGACCCATGGGCCCATCGGGGCTCAACTTGAACATGCGGGTACATGCCATAAACTTTACCGTCAATGCGTAAACATGACTGACTACATTACATAATTATAGCGATTCGGACACGGACAACACATGCGCCAGGGTCTTTGAACATGCTTGCATGCTCTCCCTTCTTTATCCGGGGCATGTCAAGGGGCTTTGGAAGCTGTCTCTCTCTCGCTCTCGTAGGTTAGAGGATGATGGAACTACCCTCAGCCCTGCTGCATGCATGCACCCCATGTGGCACCCGGACAAACTGAAAGACGAGAGGGGTATGCTGAGACGGGGATACCCCGCGATATCCTTCAGAATTCACTGACCAAGGCAGGCACGACAGGGACCAGTCGACAGTCTTGTCCCACTTCCCAAATCATGACCTGCAGCCAGCTGCACCCCCAGAGAACGGCGCTTCAAGGATTTCTGAAGTCTACTGGAACTCTAACATGCCACCTGCGCACTGGCTTCCGAACATTTCCAAACCCGAGCTGGCACATCTCCGCTGAAACACGCAATCGTCCAGTGGACAGGCCATGGACAGATTTAATTAATCTCAAAATCACATGATGGCAACACAGCACGGCGACACAAGCGGCGCACAAACATCAACAGCTGCATCTCCTGAATTGTTGGCAAGGTGCACCACCCAAACCTTGCTTCAAGGCATAGAGCGTCTTTTCACGGATAGTGTCCACCTCAACAAGACCATAGGAACACCTACATGACACTGTCCCACGGAAGTGGCAAGCTTGGTGTTGTGCAAGTCGTGATTAACAAGCTGAGCAAACCGCGCCGTTAAAACCGATCGATCCTGCAACTGCCAAGTAAGAAGTAACATGTCATCTGTGTTGATTGAAACTGAAAAGAACTGAGGCACGTCCTTGACCTGCTGCTGCCACAGAATCCACTTTGGGATCAAGTGGCCAGTGTTTCTGTACCTCCCACATGACTCTGCAAGCTCTGCCGGCTGCGGCGCAACAACAGCATTTTGTTCTCAGCTTTCTGCCAAGTCTTCGTATGTAGTCCATTCGCCAGTGCGGCTGTGGCGACCTGACAGACGGTGCGGTTTTACTGCAGTCCCCCATTTACGCAACAAGTGTTTTCGATGTTTAGGCCCCCTGCCGTAGAAAGGCACCCCCATTGTCAATTGGAGTGGTGGCAAGATGCCCTTCCTGACAGAAACGGCATCCCCAAGACAAACTTGGCCAACAAAATGAAAGATCTTCGGGACTGAGCAAATCACCCTTGATCGGCACTTCTCTTCCCATAGTCCATTGAGCTGTGATGCCCACCACCTGGCCATTTGAGGCTGATGAACCCAACCCGCCCCTCCCCCCCTCCCCCCTGCATGGGCTCCGGGAACACGAACGAGTAAACTCAAAATTAGTGTATAAGGCTTCTACACCGCCTTCTGCCAGTCTCTAGACTCTACGTAGGTCCTGGGCATGACAAGCAGCAAATCAGATGATGTGACAGGATTGCCTTGGTCATAGCTCATCATGTGTAAGAGGTCCACCACCCTGGCACAGGCTGCACGTCCACAGCATCACACACTGGTGTTTGTGCTGGTGTGTAGGCATGTGCTCTTTCTCTATTGCTGGGAACCGCGATATGTAATTTTCTGTGTGAGCCATTGCGTGAAAGCACGGCTATTGCCAAACCAGGCATGATGCTCTTTCAAAATTTCTGAATGGCAAAGTCTGGGCGCGCGACTCTGGAATACCTGCGCAAAAGCACCACAATTGCAGCAGCCTTTGGTTCGGTTGAAGGCGTGCTCTGGCCATGCCGACATTCCGGGGCACGATGTTCCTTCAGCAATTGTTCTTGCCGACCGTCCGGATAATATGCCATGGTGATCACCTACGACATCAAGACAACAAGGCAGCCTTCTCCAGACTGGTTTGGTAATAATTGCACCGCTGCAGCTGCCACCTGCTAACAGTGATGCGCGGCCTTGGAATTCCACTTGTACTTTGCGAACATCGCTCGCGTTGAGAACCTTTCGCCGGCAAAGCTGGCTGCTTCTGCAAGCAGGCGTCCGATGCTCAGCGTCCAACACAAGCTTGGACAAGCCTTTGTAGTCCGCGTTCACCTCTCGTTGGGCACGGTCGCAAGTCGCTCGCCGACTTGTGTGGCTTTGCAAAAGCCGAAGCTACAATTGCGATGTGAGACCTCCTCCTCGGACAGGTAGCCCTGTCCGAATCCTCGGCCAAGACGAAAACGACATTCCGGACCACAGCCCCGGCTAAAGAAAGACACAGATTTCAAAAGGCGCTGCTGAGTGGCGATAGCCTGGGTATTCCCAGTTGTAATCTACCTCAGAATCAGAAGTTGTTCAGGTTTGGTAGGTATGTGCAGTCCATGCTGAAGAATCTGAGAAGGCCACACCGTCTAGGTCGTATTTTGCGATGAAGTTCCCGAGCTCCTGGCAGGAACGAGGCCGCAAAATCTGCATCGGCTTCGCTTGCTGAGGCACCCTGAGCGAAAGCTCGGGCAGCTTCACAAAAGACCCAAGTCTGCTTTGTAACTTGGCTACGAACGGACGAAACATCCTTTGATGCGAAGTTGGAGCAGCGCCGCTAGTGCTTGCCGCATGCTACTTTCGCAAGGATCGACCATCCGGAGGTCGAGAGCGACCCTGCACACTAAATGTCTTCGCAGACACCTTCGCAAAAGATCCTATCTTCTCCACGGCGGTGGAGTGTCCCGGGGTGCATGTGCAAAAGAAGCCGTTGAAAGCTCCACTGCATCACACCGCGTCAGGCAAACGAGTGACACCTCAGCGACAGCAAGCGGCATCATAATATGCAGGAAGCATGGCCCACTGCTGTTTTCAAGTGTCCCATGCAATATGATTTGCAGTTGCGCTGCGTACCTGGAGGATAAACACAAACGTTGTTTGAGATCTATGGCTAATTTTCTGTCAAAGCACCGATCATAGAATCGCGCGTGATAATCTCCTGCAGCTTCTCTTCCGTCCAGTTCTCGGTACCTGAGAGGACGATGCCCTCGACACAAGTGGTTGTTCCAAGCCACAACAATCAGTAGGTCGGTAATTAATTAGTAGGGTTAGAGCATCCTAGGTTCACCAATACTCGAGAAACATGCCAGTAATTGACGAGACAGAGATCCTTTTCCAGTCCCCAAAGCCGTAACCATTCCCGTCCTATCACCTCAATCCGATAGCGGGTTTAACTCAGGAGCCCAACCCTCATGCTGCTGCGGACTGCACAAAACAGAACATGCACAAAGCTGAGGACACCGTGTAACACTGTTACAAGTGGGAGCACCCGATGTCACTTGCCTGAATCACGCCCAATGCGGCAACTTGGGATTTTGGCTCCGCATGGCAGTTCCCAAAGGTCCACATGGCAGGTATTCCGTCACGTTCTGAGTCAGGCAACTTGGGTTGAATCAGCCCGAAAATTTGCGATGCGATAGACATGTAACAGAATGTAAAGCATGGTCTGATCCCAGACATACCACAACGCCTGACACAACACAGCCCTCCAAAGGGCACTAACGCCTCGACTCAAATGCTCAGGGGTGTCAGCAAAACAGTTTTCGATGCACGCAAATCGGGATGTAAGAAAGTAGAACTACTGTTAACTTGCTTATTTCACTACTTGCTTAGTCCAGTGATCCTTAAAGCAAGCACTTCAACATCCTGATGTGCTGAGAGCGACCTTTAGGACGACTGGGGAGAACCAGAAAGCGGCAGTCCGCGGTGGAGTCGTGCACCACCACCTGCAGTTTCTTTTGCTTGTGGGGGATTTAGGCTTGGGCTTTGGGATGTCACGTCTTCTTTGCCAATGTTTATTGATCGACTCGATTTCTTCGCCGATCCTGTCGATACTTGCCATACCAGTAGAATGTCCGAGAGCGGTGGCAAGGCACAGGATCTCAGGAGACGCCCTCTATGACTCGACTCTGTCACTCTATGCGTTACACAAACAGCGTAGAACTCCAGCCGAGGGGATGCATCGCCGACTGTCGTCCCGACGATTAAACTTTCTGCGCCCGCGCGCAGTGAGCCAGAATCAGAATGAGGCGGTACAGTTGAGTCCATTGCGGCCCGCTCTCGGTACGATGGTGCGCAATGTGCCTTTGCGGGGATCCCGGTCAACTTCTTTCAAGGACGGCCCCAAAACTCTGAAGTCCTCCACCAGTTGGCCTTGCTTGCTCTTCCCCTCCCGGGCCTGCATGTCAGCAGGAATGTCGGTTCCGAACTCTTTCAACACGGAGCGAGGCTCACGTACAGCGCGTGATCGGTATTCTCGAGACTTGTACCTGGGAGAAGATCCAAAACCGAAGGACCGCCGTTGTTGTGGGGAGTGGGCTACTTGCGTCTGAAGGCGTAAGGAAGCCCAGCGGCCAATCCGGGGAGAGCCCCAGCAAGGTCAACGGATAGCAGCTACCTTAAAAGATCATGCGCAGTTCTCCGTGATGCATGGAGCGGTAACTCTGGTCGAGTCACGTCTATGGCAATCTGTCTCAGCAACTGACATCAACGCGGCACATCAATTGCTGCATCATGTAACGCACTTCGAAGTCAAACCAACATGCTACAGTCTGCAACAGTTGTCTCAAGCTGGGGCGCAGAGAGTGCAGACGATCAGGTGGTGCTCCTCTCTAAGTCTACAGCTGTTTGGCTGCTTGCTTACCGTTTGCAAGAGCTCCCCACGCCGACACATGAACTACCCGGCTCTGGGCATGCAGGCTTTCATGGAATCATGTCAGGCTTTGCAGCTGCCACGAGGGCGGGCATAGCACGGCCAACAGGATCTCGCGGCCGCGTGTGCGGGCAGGCTTGTAGAAAAAAACAAAATGCGAGCCTTGACCACAGTACTGAAATTATGGTTGAAATGGGTATGATCCAGGTTGCTGCCGTTATTCCTCAGATTATGGCTAGCGATCTTTGTGTCGTTACGCATCAGCTCGCACCGGGGTTCCTCGGGCTTTTGCTCGAAGACCACGAGCCGTGTAGGTGCCGTCGGGTTCGTCGCTGAGATTCCCAGCTCCAAGCAGGCGCTGTTGGCATCCGTGAGCAGCCGGGACTTGAACCTTGGGCTGTGCGCTCTCACAACTCGGACTTGCCCGAGGAGGTTGATGGTTCCAAGTCGGATCGAAACCAGGGTTAGGGTTAGGGTCTAAGTACAGAGCGCTTCGGACCTGAACTCGCTTCGAGCCGAGCTATGTTGACTGAATTGCACATGGCTAGGCACGCTGTGAGCGGTGTTCCCGGTCGGGTGCTGACGAGCTTAAAGACTTCGGCATCTTGATCATGACAAGACTTCTGGCCGCACCGGCAGGTCAAGACCGAGCTGAGCTCTGCACCCGACTGCCCTGCCTGAACCTTTGGCAGCTCCGAGTGGCTTGCCAAACACCCCGGAAGATTGCGACGATGATAATGATGATGACGATCAAGACCAATCATGACGGTGGTGGTGCGAAGGGAGCTAAAGTCAAGAACCATAATGAATCAAGTACTGAAATATCACACTCTTCTAAGCAACAACATGCACACTAATTGACTTTTGCTGCATGTGGCATTTTGCGAGGTGGTGAGCTGGCAGAATGCAGTAATTGTAAGCTATACTGAAGCGCAGTACAGAGTCTTGCTGTGGTCTTCTGTAGTTTAGCGGCAGGCATTGGCTCTCAGGGCTTGCCATGTTCGTCTTTTTTTACTAATTTGTCCTCGGAATGAAGGCTGGCTCATCTGCAGCAGTAGGCTGAATTGGTGTCATGCAGTTGCCATCCGACCGTCGTATTGTATTGCACCTGCCGTCACCTGAACCTACGCGAAGAAGACGGAACTTCAGCTCGTGGCCACTGCAGATGGTTGCGCTGTGATCGAGGGGCCGAGCCCCATCTCCAGAACAGCTTCCAATTAAGCTCAAGTCTGCTGGGCTGTCCATCTGCTCAGTGCGGTGCGCCGTCGGCCCTCGAACCCCACGTAGAAACATGAATATGCACATCCACGCAAACATACACACACACATAATTGACAACTATATATATATACATACATACATACATACATACATACATACATACGCACGCATGAGCTGGCCAGTTTCTCATTTGTTTCGGAATGCAGCCGCATGGTAAGTACAATCCACTGAACTGACTGAATCACCTTTGTAACCCGCACGGACACGACAAACTTGAGGCCCCAGCGTCTCGTCCTTGGCTTGGCTGTTATACCATCTTCGATGCGCAGGGGATTATCACAACAAGGCTTGGTACCTTCAAGCCTACAAGAACGGTCATCTTTTTGATGCGTAATAATGCTGCTAATAGTAATCGCTGCGAAAATCGGACCAACACTAAATAGCTCTGATGAAAGCAGAAGATCTACTCGTTCTCAGCATTCTTTCTGCAGCGGGATTTTGCCCACCCGCCCAGCTGACAAAGTTGCACTGCCGGGAGCTCGCCCGAAGGAGACATGTTCAGGTGAAGTCCCAGAGCGATGCGCACTCTCCGAAGTAATCAAAGCCAGGAACAGCAGTGGGACACAGCAGGGCATCGAAATGTCTGGGCCAATAGGGGTGGCTGTGAACTAAGAAGGCCCAAGGTTCCGTCCAAGCCCGTGCCACCACGCGACGTCCGACCTTGACCACTGAAACCAGATCAGTTTGCAGCCTTACACCAAAGAACTTCCGAATCGCGAAAATTAAGTCGCTCCGGCAATCGACCTGAACCCATCGTCCCATGAAGTTGCACTGGCAATGAGAGCAGTTCAGAGCTTCAGAATACATTCAAACCGAAAACTTGCGAAAGGAGTTCCCCCAAAGCATCTACTAACGAGTCCTCCATGTGTACTAGTGAACGCAAGCACTGTGGTCTCTACGACCATGCCAGATATCAGTCTCTCTGAGAAGGTCCGAGAAATTTCGGTTGCCCAGCAAGGCGCTGCTCCTCGTTGCTGCTCTCCTGCATCTACCTGCCAGCAGTGTCGGGACCCATCTAATAGCACTTTCAACTGTTGTTAGGTTGTCCCTTTTGTGCTACTGCTACTCTACTGTTCTTGAAACGAGGATTTTTCACGTCTGCATATCCATTATCACCATGACTATCATCAAGTCAAAGTGTTCATGGGCTCCAAGCAGAAACCCTGAGCACTTCAACGGCGAGCCCCGATCTCTTCCTGGCCTTCTCAATGCCGACTCGGAGCTCCTCTGCTGCGATGACGCCTGACACGGCTTCACGAGGTTGGCCCTTCGAATTCTTTAAACAAGTTCGTCAATAGGATCCTCCGACGAGGCCCAGTAAGGCAAAACCTGGAATGTCCCAGAGGTCCTACCTACTCTCATGCTAAGGAGTTATGAACGGGTGGTTCGCTGCAGGAGCGACAGCTCAAGATGATGACCCTGCGAAATGCACCCACACAGAATAGCAGCTGTTGCATGTGGAAATATTCCGGTATACGTGTCTAAAACTATCGTATCTAAGTCTACGACCTTTCTTCGGACCGCTCATGCAGGGTCCACATAGCACTGAAGGATAACTTCCTGAGCCATGTTGGCCGAGTGTGCGTGCGTGTGTGTGTGTGTGAGTGTGTGTATGTATGTATGTATGTATGTATGTATGTATATCTAATATATATATATATATACATACATGCATATCAACACGGTTCACAAAGCACAGGAACTATGATAAGAAGGACCAACAAATAAAAGTGTATAAATTGTTACACACACACACACAGAGACTGTTGCAAGAGCTTTTGCTCGTCTATCTTTCTCATGTGCATCCGAGAATTGTGTTTTCCACGTGTGATGCTTGCTGCTAAGCTACCCTAATGGCCGCCGTGGAGCTTAGGGATGGACAACAAGCCGCTCTACATCAGTATGCCATGCCCTGCAACGCTTGAGCCCTAGACGGCTCGACAACTACCGCTCGTGGCCTTTGCTCAGCAAAGCCGACACCAGAGCGCGGGCAATGGCGGGGCAGGCAACCTGCTCAACAGCTGCCATAAGTTCGTTTCAACTCCTAGTGTTTGCCTTGCAAGGCTGACAAAATGTTCAGATATGGCAGGGATGAGACACTTTGATCAGGATCCTTGTCGCCCCCCTATCAGTACGAAAAGGATGCGAGACAGTGTAACCAGTGTAAAAAGCAATAACCTTATAATGAGAACAAGCATAACAATACAAGCACAACAACATAAACCAAACCAAGCAAATGCCGAGGACGAAGAGAACGACGATGTACGATCATGACGCTGTCGACAGTCGACTACCATTACTGCTCCGGCTCCCGCTCCCACTCCTCCTCCTCCTCTCCTCATTTACTACTGGTACTATGACGACGACAACTACGACGACGGCAAGCGCTACTGATCCCAATCGTCCTACACTTCTAGTACTCCTGGACTCGATGTTTAAGTATTCCTACTTGCACTCACAGCTTCGTAGTGTTGAGAACTGTGAGGGACTCCCTTCCTCCCGCAGTGAGCCTCCTCATCCACAGCGCGCTGCTCAACAGTGTGCCGCTCCTGGCCGGATTCAATGCCAGCAAGATTTCTACTTTCTACGGCGTCAGCTGCGGCTTCGACACACCCAGCCAGTTTGACCACTCCTTCGTAGCTAAAACCAAGCACCAGAGTCGGCTATCAACTGACGAACAGAAAGGAAGCAGCAGGTTGTCGCGACTCTCTGCAGGGTCTGGCAACGAGATCTGCAGGTTCACATACTTGTGCAAGTTTATATGGGCTCGAGGCAGCCCACATCCCGAACTCTACTTCCGGATTTTCGAGGTGTGCCTGCACACCTCCCTCGGCCAAAAAATGCCCGTCCTCGTGAACGTGGTCGTGGCCCTTCGATGTGCATGGCTTCGACTTGCAGGTTTCTCAGGTTGGGGACTCCAAGCTCCCTTCAACACGGATTCTGGAACGAAGAGGGTCTGCTTATCAAGCAGACCGTCCTCTGAGTCACTGTGCAACTTACCTTCAGGGCATCCGCCAACAAAGAAGGGCGTCATAGTTGGAGTCAGACGCCGATTCAAAACCAATCTGCCACGATCCAACTTGAAGAGGGTCAAGGATCAAACCCAACCCTAAACCTTAAACTTCAAAAGGTCGTTAAACCATGAGAGATTGAAACTGCAGCCAAGAGCCTCATGCTCCGGGTGATTCTCGGTACGGGCTCTCTTGCAGTCCTGTTGGATCGAACAAGCATTTTGCCCTCTTTTTGGGGCTCCGGGCTCGGAGGGCCAAAGGTTTAGGGTTTCGACTCACACACTCGCTCACGCAGGCATGGCAGGTTTCGTCCCAGGTTTAGGGTTTAGGGGTTAGGGGTTTAGTGGTTTCGGGTTCAGGGGGGCCTTCGAAAAGGTCTGAAGCTTTATCTCTGGCAGGGCTGATGCACGGGAACAAAGCGCTGCAGGATCCGAACCACGCCCTGTCTATGGATGCGCCAAAACTGAAGGGACTCTTTCTTTCATGTGGGTAGTTCTCTACATTAGGGTCCCTTTCAGGGTCCCTTTTACAAGTGTGCCGTACTATATTATATTGGGCCATAAGGCGCGACCTCTGACCATCTTGGGCCAGGTGGCTGGGTGCAGCTCAGCATCGCCGGGGCCAGTGCTCGCGGAACGCTTCGTCTGCTGCTGCTGCTGCAGCCTGCTTGTGCATCTGCTGGTTGAAGGCTGTTTAATAAGATTTGTGTACGTCTACGGGATTTACCCTGGGTTAACATGAGAGTACAAGGCCCTCGGGATTCTTACGCAGAACAGAAG